AAAAAAAAAAAAAAAAAAAAACAATAAATGATTAAAAATCTTTTTTCCATTATTGTTTTTCCAAGTCTTTTTCAGTCTAAAAGACAACCAATAATGTTCAAAAACACTTTTCCAAAAAAAAAATAAATGAAAAAAACCACTTTTGCAACCAAACTAAATGCTGTTCTGATACTGTCAGGGAAGAGTACAGCGACAGTAACAGCTTTTCTTTGATTAAACTTGCAGAAAAAACAATGAAAAAGTTCCCTCCAAAATCAGGGAAAAAGGAAGACAAATGGTGAAAAAATTTGGCACAAATTGAGTTAAATAAGGCCAACAAAGAAATAAAGGCTTTTTTTTTTATCCACCAGTTGGGGTAACAGCACCAAATATGACCAGACGGTTTAGCACTGGGAGAAGGCAGATGCGAACGCTGTAGCAAAAAGAATCTAGACATAAACAGTTTTGATAGAAAAAAATGTTCATTTGCGGTAGACCTGCGATGGAGCTGATGGATGAATGGTGTTATTGGTGAGGAAAAAAGTTGCTTTCTACATGTTTTTGCCAAAAGAACTTATTGCCAGGTGTACTTCCAGACAAAGACAAAGACAAGTCTACTCATTTGAAAAGCACTAAATTTTGTTTTTTGTTGAAAAAAAGAAAGAAAGTACATTTTATTAGAGGCAATCGTCAATAGATTTTGAAAAAAAAAAAAAAGACGACTAGTTTCTTTGAAGGATTTGGCACTGCAAATATGATAATGGGCAAATGGGTTTCTGACTATTTCCACCCTGTCAATACTGTTTCAAAAAAGTTCAGCTAAAAATGTTTCTATCCATCCATACTATCTCCGTTCACCTGTTTCATTATTTTTGGATAAAGCAATCAAAAGAAGAACAAATTTTACATCTTATTCTTTCTTTTAGTTTCTCAACCTTAAACTTCTAATTTATTTTATTTGAAGTTTTATTTGATATTGTAAAAATTGCTTTACTCAAACTACAATCATTTCGTCAATTTTTAAACGCAGTTTAATAGCCCATAAGGTTTTTCAATTTCCGTTGAATAACTTAAAACCACAAAAAGCAGTTAACACTTGAACAGTTAGAGTAGCAGTAATAACCTGATTAAAGTCTTCCAAAATAGACCAACTTATCGAAACTTGTTCATTGCTGGCCCAGTTGGTTTCGGTAAGTTTAAATCTTGGATCACCGCAACCACCTGTGGTTAGGCAGCCTTTACGCCACTGAACGTTTACCAGGTCAGCGGTTAGCCAAAAATATTCGTTACAACTACATAAATCCACAAAAAATAACAGCAACAAATAGCTGACAGCTATAAACGGCATATTTTGAAATAATATCAAAAATAAAAAACCTGAAAATAAACAACCAAAATTACCAAGCATAATTAAAAACTCTCTTATTATTTTTCTTGTCCGACGACAAATTCTAAAATACGAACAACAAATATTGTTAAACGATGATTGTAGTAGTCAACCAATAAAATTGGCATTACTACACTTCTCCCCTAACCCAACAATTACGTAAGGTTTAAGGGATTCAAATTTCAAAGCCCGAAAAACGTAATTATTTTCTACACCACTTAAAAATAATTACTAAACTTGAATAACAAATGACA